GGCCGGGGCCGGGGCCGGGGCGGCCGGGCTCGCCTGCCGCCCGCCTGCTTCCCGCCTCTCTCCTGCCGCCCGCAGGGTCACAGAGCTGCTGCCGCCCTTCCAGCGCGTCATCCAGCCCGAGGAGATGTGGCTGTACAGGAACCCGCACGTCCAGGCCGACCGCGTCCCCACCCTGCCCCTCTTCGTGAGTCCTCTGCTGCACCCTAGAAAGCACCTCCTGCCCCGAGCCCCTAGCTCAGGGGTCAAGTCGTTTTCAGAGGTGGCCGGAGTCCGCCCCGCTGCCCTGCGTGTTTTCCGTGCAGTTTTTGTTTTATTACGGCTTTTCGGACCCAAAAGAGAGACTTCTTTTTAAATGCCTTTGTTCATTGAGAGAAGCCGGATGTCCTCTGCAGCGTGTCTGGGTCTCTTCCGCACGGGCATGGGTTGCTAGAGAGAGGAAACTGCGATGGCAAAGCCAGAAAAAGATGGGGTATAGCAAGGGCTTAGGACAAACAGGGATTGCCCTGGAGCTGACGAGATTTCCAGGAGGGCGTGTCCTGTGGGAGGCTGTTTGCTGGTGGCTGTTTGCCGTGTCGCTCTCCAATTGGGCTTGGCCACAAATGGATTCATTGGGGCGTCTAACCAGACCTCTGACTTGTGTACCGTGACCCAGAGGATTGACGGCTGTCTGCCACGTAGGAGAAGTCGTGGTGGGACACAGTCAGAGGCTGTGGGAGCAAATAGTTTCCCTTCAGAGGCAGGTGCAGATTGTAGCAAAGGCTGCAGGACAAAGCCCAGGCGCAGTTTGGAAGAACATACGTGGGACTGCTAGGGCACCTGCAGAAAGTGTACCCCATGCCAAGAGCATTCCCCGGAGCCCAGGAATGTGTAACCCCTGGGCATCCGTTGCCTCTGAGATGCAGGCCTCCTCTTCGTCTTGCTTTTCTCCTTGGCAAACCGCTCTGAGGCTGCAGACCAAGGATTCATTTGTTTGTGTTGTAACGGGCACAGGGAATGAAACGGAGGCATGCGGTGCAGTTCCAGCCCGTGGTGGGGGCAGCAGTGCCCGCACCACGGCCCCCTGGTTGATAGCCACTGTGCTAATAGCACTGCTGCCAGCGAAGCTGAGCGCTTGGTTTGTAATCTCCTCTCCTACCTGGCTTGTGTTAGGAGGGGGAAGCATGTCGGTTTTGGGGCAAAGGCTTTTTGCCTTGAATGGCCCATGCAAACTGCTGTGTGGGGAGCCAGCATACTCCAGAAGGTGCATCCTGTGTTGTTACAATGCCTTTGTTTTATTGCAGCTCATTTCCTTCTTCTCTCCCGTGTCGGTAATCCTCCTGGCAAGATTCTGCATGAAAGTCACCCGGGAAGACACACAGGAGGCTTGTTTAGGTGAGCACGCTGAACCCTGACAGTCGCTGTTCGTAGAGACCTGTGCAGACTTCATGCCCTCCAACCAGGGGTCCTTGGTCTGACAGTAAGACCCTTGCTTCTGGCAGCAGTGACGCCCGTCGGTACTCACGGTCAGGGTGTGTTAAAAAAGGCTTCGTCACCTGCTGGATGCCAGGTTGAAGTCCAAATACTGCCAGCCCCCAGAACATGGAGCTACAGTCCTTCCAGGCAGGAAGCCCTGCTGATCACGCACCAGGAAGAGCTTCCCTGCGTTAGCAGCCAAAGATCATTCCCTTCCACATGGCTTCTCCTTCCACTGCTGAAGCTGGGCAGATAGGAGCATGCACTGTGTCTGGGGCAGTGCTGACGCTGTTTGCTCTCTTCCAGCTGCCAGCCTTGCGCTGGCCCTCAACGGGGTTTTCACAAACACTGTCAAGCTGGCCGTGGGGAGGTAAGGAAGTTATTTATTCACCAGCGCACTGCGCTGTTGTTTAGCTGTCTGCGATTAGCGATAGAGTCCCAGCCCTTAGCAGGTAGTGGTCTGGGCCCAGGGATGGGTACTTACCCTTTGCACTGCGATTATTCCCAGCTGGGAGCTGTTCTGGAAACACCCCAGCAGGCTGCTGGATGAATATGCTCTCACGCTCTGATTTCTCCCTGAGCTTGAGGGTAGCAGGCTTGGGTCGGCTTCATTGGCTGCTGCTGCGATGCAGAGGAAGGTGTCAAGCCACGTAAGGGAAGCGATCTTGCCGCTGCATGCGGCCTTGGTGAGAGCACCACTGAGATGCTGCAACCAGCTAGTCCCAGGGTGCCCCCTCCTCTTGCAGCGGGTTGTGTGGGCCCCACTCTGGCTTCTCGTTCCCGCGTGGAGCAGGGTGACAGACTTTTTCTCCTGCCCCAGGCCGCGCCCTGACTTCTTCTATCGCTGCTTCCCAGACGGACGGGCAAACTCTGCGCTGGCCTGTACGGGCGATGTGGCCGCGGTGACAGAGGGACGCAAGAGCTTCCCTAGCGGGCATGCCTCCTGTGAGTGCTGGCACTACCTTGTGCTGCAGGCCTGGGCAGAACCAGGCTTGAGGGAGCCAGGTGCCTGGGGCTGGGATCCACCATGCCATCATCCTGCCCTGCAGCTTTGGGCATACCCACCAGTCTTTTCCATGGCTGCTCTGGAGGGGGGAGGCACTGGGGACTTGATGCATTCCCCCTCCATACGTAGAGTGTTTTCAGTGTGTGTAGCCCACTGTGACTCTCTCCCCACTCCAGCCCTTCCTTGCCCATGTAGCAGAAGTGCTGTGTTCTCCCAGGTTCTTTGCCTCAAGAACTGGAAGCTGCTTTTCCCTGCTGCCACTCCTGGAATGGACGTACTGGGCCCCGGGTCCCTAGGAAGGGCAGAGCGGGGGCCACGGAGCGCAGTTACCTAACTGCTGGGCTTTCCTTCCAGTCGCCTTCGCTGGTCTGGCCTTCTCTGCCTTCTACCTGGCAGGCAAGCTGCGCTGCTTCGTTCCCGGCGGACAGGGCAAAGCCTGGCGTCTCTGCGCCTTCCTGGCACCGCTGCTCCTCGCCAGCCTCATCGCTTTGTCCCGCACCTGCGACTACAAGCACCACTGGCAAGGTGAGTGCCTTTGCTTGGCTTTGTGCCTCTACTGGGGACAGGGGCATGGTCAGAGATAGCGGGGGCAGTGTGGGTGAGACTGTCCTGAGGTTAACAGAAGAGTTGGAGCAGCACAAGAAACCCTGGCTGGCAGGGTGCAGCCATGGCACATCTGTGCTGCTCAGGGCTGTGTGGAGTGCCCCAGGCTCTCGGTGATGGAAGGGGCATCTGCAGAGGTATTATAGTCATGGGGGCCCCCAATCTGTGTGTGTTTGCCCTGCAGATGTGGTAGTAGGCTCAGCCCTTGGCCTCATGCTCGCCTACCTCTGCTACCGGCAGCACTACCCCCCACTGACGGACCCCGAGTGCCATGTGCCCTTCCTGGGCAAGGCCAAGGTGCTGCCTGCAAAGGAGCCCAAGCAAGCCAGCTCCGGCTTCCTCAATGTGTAGCTAGGATGGACACTGCTAGCTCCGACCATGTGGGATCCTCCCTCCCTCCCACTTCTGGGACCACAGGGTGGGGACAGGGACAGATATTTTGGGGCACTGAATCGCTGCCTGCTTAGAGAGGAAACCTGAAGGGGAGCAGGCGAGAGCCAGAGGAAACCATCACCTCTGCCCGTGGTGTTGTCCTGCTTATCAGGCCCCAGGCTTCCTGTCCCTCTGGCCTGTTTTGTGAACCTGCCCTGCTCCATGCCTGCTGTTGGGGGAGGCTGGGGGGGTCTGCAGTGCCAAGCCTGCAGGAGGGGGACAGGGAGCTGCTGTGCTGATCCCAGCTCAATGCGACGGGGGGGGTGGCAGTGTGTTGCAATGAGCTTGGGCATTCCGCTGGCCCGGGAGGCCCCTTCCAGCCCTGTGTACTGTTGCGCTGTCCCCATCTTGGTGTTTTTACTGTCCAATAAAGAGCTGAGTGTGATGCTTTTGCTGGGAGTTGTAGTGCTTGTGGCAGCTCAGAGCCTGGGCCAGGTCTAGGAAACCATTCTGAATGCAAGGGAGGCCAGTCTCTGGGCGGGGTGGGGCGGGGCTGGCTGCTCTTCATTCCAGTTCATGGGAGCAGAGGACACAGCACATGAGACCCTCCCTAGGGCACACTTTGGCCTTACAGAAAGGCCCTCCCCCTGCATGGGGTGCTTCTCAGCTGTGCTGCTTTTGCTTCCTTGCATAGGGTTTGCAGATGGCACAGCTGCCCTAGGGCACTAACATGGCCAGCACTTTGGGCCACAACACACAATCCTGCATCAGTCCTGCCCCCTTCCCTATACAAACAAGCTTGGCACCCTACAGCGTCGTGTCAGCTTTTACTGGAAAAAAACATTAAATACATTTCAAATGTTATTTAAACTTTTCCTGTTTACAAAGTGCATAATTCCAAGAGCTGCTCCTGACGGTGCGTCCCAGCCAGGACCGTCCTCCCACAGGCGGGCAGGAGGTGCTTTAACCAGAGGTTGAGTCCTGCAGCATCATTTCAAGAGCAGTTTCAGTGGGTTCTTTTGGCTGCAGTGGGGTTGGGGATCACGAGCAACGTACACCACAGAAAAGACAGACTGGGGCTATGGGGAAGGCCTGGCACCACATACAGTCATCACTGAGAGAGAACACGCTTGGGGCATCTATTTCAAACTCTATCAAACACAGCACCCCCCTAACTAACTCTACTACCTTTGCTTTTCCTTGCTGCATCGAGGCCAGGGTTCAGTCTAGCCAGTTAGTGACCCTTCACATCTTTGGTTACAAGGGATCGCTCTCTTCAGGATCTCTGGCCCTTCTTGCCTTGGCAATTACGATTCCCCAGCCACTGAACTAAAACCGCAGTCATAGCTCTCTATAGAAGGCTGCTTTAATTTCACCACCGGGGACATTAAGACATTCCTATAAACTTGGAGGCAACATCATCACCTACAGACACACAGATAAAAACGTAACCAAAACGGTGCCAGACACTTCCCTTTACTGAATCAGTGCAACCAGGGAGAATGGGGAGTGTGTAGACTGTGCTCATATGCAGCACTGTGACCCTCTTCCTTGCTGGACCCTGCCTGATGAGCTGTTGCATTTTCACTTAAGTAGTTTATGCTTGAATCAGGATGTAACACTGCTAACAAACTACCCCCGGGCTGCAGTGCTGTCTTGTTCCTGCTGCATGGGGTCTGCAGACGCCTATGGGGGGGACCCAGACCCCTCCCACTTGTACAAATTCTGCTCTGAACAAAATCAGAGTTATCTGGCCCCTGGGAGGAGAATGGAGGTGGGAGCAGAGTCTAGAAGAGACGCAGGCCTCCCCCATTCATTGGTCAATGGTCCCAGCCAGAGCTCTGCATCAGCATCAACGTTAT